AACTTCTGAAGACCTCCACCAATGCCTCCTGTAAGAGATTCCAACTCTACCGTCACCAGGCAGGTTGAAGCCTCATGGACCCAATCCAGAGAACTGAGCAGAGCAGAAGTAAATAGGCGAGCAGAACCCCACAAAAGCTGCATGGAGTTTTGCAATACAATGCATTTTTAAGATTTCCTTTTCATGGCTTCCTTTTAAACTATGATTTGAAAAGTAAAACATTGTCATGGAAAATGCTCTATGAGATTGGTTTTTACCAAAAATGAATCATTCGGCAGATGGCTGGGAGTGGGGGAAGGTGGGAGAGGAATGGGATTTTAGAAAAGCAGAGGTGAGAGGCATCCCCACAGTTTTCAGAATCCACATCAAATGATCCACTGCAGTTATAATCTAATCTAAGGCTCACGGAAGTTTCATGTTTTTCCCCCTTCCTGCTCTGCTCTGAAGCCATCCATGTTCTCTTCCTGTTGTTCTATTTTCATTATATTCAAGAATACAGAAACATCTGCTCCATTAGGAAAGCAGAACTGTTGGACTGTCTGTTGTAAACAGTCACCTACATGATTTTTCTACCCAAACCTAAAGTAGTATTACTGCCGTTAAGCAACAGGGCTGAAAGCCTGGCATGTGAGAGACGTGGACAGCAGCTTATAGAAAGACCTTACCCAAACTTCACTGGTCAGAGGGCTTTGACCTTCCAGACTGCTTCTACTTCTAGCTTCTGTTAGGGAATGAAGCATTTCTTGTTTATTTGGGAAAGGAACCAACATGCTCCAAATAGCTACAGTCTCCCCTTCATCCTTGGACTTCAGGGATACGGGGGCAACCTTTGTCTTGAGATTCATTTCACGACTTTAGGAAGTCTTATAGTTTGAGTCACGAATATCCACCTCTCAGCAACTGCCAGAACGAGTAAACAGGAAATCAGCAAAATTACAGATGATCTTAACAGCAAAATAAACTAACAGGATTTGACTGACATGTATAGAACATTCCACCTAACAACAGCAGAATACCCATTTTTTTCAAGTGCTCAAAGGAACATTCACCAAGATAGACCATATCCTGGGCCATAAAACCAACTGCAACAATTTTATAAGAATTGAAATCATACAGAGTATGTTTTCTGACAATAATGGAATCAGCCTAGAATCAATAACAGAAATACAACAGGAAAATCTCCAAACACTTGCACATTAAACAACATACCTCTAAAAAATCCACCGGTCAAAGAGAAAAATCTCAAATAAAAGAAAAAAATATATAAACATGAATCAAAATATGGCATCTAAAGATATGTGGGACACAGCTAAAGCAGGGCTGAGAAGGAAACAAAGCACAAAATTCTTACATTAGAAAAGAGAAAAGGTCTTAAATCAATAATCTAACTTCCTACCTCAAAAAACTACAAAAAGTACAGCAAAATAAAACTAAAATGAGCAGAAGGGAGAAAATAATAAAGACAAGAGGAGAAATCAATAAAATTGAAACAATAAAACAATACAGAAAATCAGTGAAACAAAGAGGTAGTTCTTTGAAAAGATCAATAAAAATTGATAAATACAGCAAGATTTATGAAAATAAAAGAAAATTTAAAATTACCAATATCAAGATAGAACAGGATATCACAACATATCCTGTAGCTATTAAAAGGATAATAGAGGAATACTACTGACAACTTTATACTCATAAACTCAACAACTTAGAAGAAGTGGGTCAATTCCTCAATGACCACAAACTACCAAAACTCAGCAAAACTGAAATGGATAATCTGAATAGTCTTATAACCATAATGAATTCATATTTTAAAAGCTGCACACATTATCTTCAAATAAAAAGTAAAAAAAAAAAAAAAAAAAAAAATTCTGCTTCTGCAAATCCCCAGGCCCAGACAGTTTCACTGGAGAATTCTACCAAACATTTAAAGAAGATTTAGCACCAATTTTACACAATTTCACGCAAAAAATAAAAGAGGAGGAAACACTTCCTAATTTATTTTATGAAACCAGTATTATTCTAATACCAAAATTAGGATTTATTCATTCCCAAATGCCCATTTAGGAAAGTATATGGGACTTTACAAGTTCATTTTTGTTGTTTTTAGGACATGTCCAAGATCTTGGAGAATGAAGAATGAAGCTATATACATATATATGTAGAGAGAGAGAGAGAGAGAGAGAGAGAGAGCACACTTTTAAGTCAAACTGAAAAGGGAATTTGGAGTTGGAGACATGATGTAAAAGGAACGCTATTCTTTTCCTTCCCAATGTGTGATTTGTGCACGAATGTCTCAGCTGCTCTCTGCCGTTTGTTACTGACCAGCTCTGCAAAATAACATGGAAGCCCATGTGAGTCGGGAGACAAAAGTCCAGGCTCTCAATGTGTTCTGCTATTAAGCCACCCTGTGTACTTGAATAATTAATTAAATGTTATCTACCTCTGTAACGTGCTGGTTTAGTTACAGCATGTTAAGTTCTACAGGATCATCCATGCCAGGAAATAAAGGCAAAACTAGTAAGTATGTTTATGTCATTATGATAAATTGGTTAACACACAGGCTTAATTAAGAGGCTCTTTCCTCTATGAGGCAGTCCACGGACATGGAGTCGTTCCCCCAAATAACTCCTCTATGTATGTCCCTTTGGGAAGTTGCTGATGGTGTCACTAAGCTCAGCGAAAAGCTTCCCAGCTGTAGGGCCCAGAGCCCCCTTCCACCGTCACAGAGCCATCGCCAAGCTGTGTTCCTTGGATTTTATTGGCAGAGGTGATTCTCAGTGAGATCTGGGGACACGATCTGCCTTCCCAAACACTCAGTAAATTCAGCAGAGGTGGAAACCACAGGGGGATTTTCGGCCTGATGTCAGCTGTGATGGCCACCACACTAGGAGCACAAGGGTCTACATGTGTATCCTGATGTCATCACTCTCAGGGAAGATACTGTGCATGTATCATTTTGCATTTCTCAGCTCCCCACCCTCACAGGCACATTAGCTGCCACTCACTTCCTTGACACCTGAAGCACCGGCTGCTATTTTGAGCAAGATACTGACTTAGAATGCTTTCTTCTAATTACGTGTCATTAACTTGCCTTGGGGTGGCAGTTCCCTGGTGATGTGGGGCATGGGACAAGTCAAAGCCACTGGGTTGTCACAAAAGCCACCAGTTAGGTCTCCTCAAGATGGGGAGGGTGGTTTCTGCCTCCCCAAATTCCCCTACAGTGTTTTAAAAAGGGTAAGAAAAGGTCATGTGGATTCTCCCTTGGGTTGACATGCATCAGTGAAGGTTGCGGGGAAGCATCAGTGGGGAGCCCGAGGCTTGTTCTGAATCTTATTCTGTTGCCCAGTTAACATATTCATCCAACTTTCTCAGCACCTCACACAGACCCAGAGTTCACGGGAGAGTGGGATGCTGCACGTCTGGACCTGCATTCCTGTATGTGAACTATATACCCTAACACAAGACTGAAATATCCTTCAGAAAACTCTCAAACAGTGGCACTAAACTAAATTAAAAAAAAATCATTATAATTAGATATTGGCATCTTTCTTCTTCTAAAGGCATTGGCAACCAAAAGGAAAACTTTGCTATAGCCTCTGGACCAATAGCTAGAAGATTATAAATTAACTCTTTGATAACACGAGCAGGAAAAAAAAAAAAAGATGGTTCAAGAACGCAAACAACACGTTACTAGAGTCTATATCTAAATTGATAGCACAGTTACCACCAGAATGATAGAGATAATACCATTTTCCAACAGTCAGAGAAAATATGGCCAAATGCTTGTCTTAAAGTAACTAATAATTAGCAATCCTTTAGTGCTCTCATGACTGTAAAAGTGTAAAGCCAATTCAGAGGTCAAAATATATTCTTCCCCAAACTGATACAGTGTTGAAAATAAGACATAGTCTGGTTGGCTGCTATATGCGTCTCCTTCTTCTCCCACAGACTTTAAGCCATGAGATGAACTAAAGAATATACAGCTACCCCCACCACGGAGGAATTAAATGACCCCTCCAAGGTGACAAAATGCTAGCAGCATCAGCGTGAGTATTCTAGTGGGGATTGGTATTCATCCTTGGCAAGGATGGTACTTTTTGTCATAACGTAAAAAAACTGTCCATTTCCTGTAGATATCACACAGGCATATTGTACACATTACAGATGCACATACATACGTCCAGTGCAGAAACTGGGTGGCAGATGGGAGTGTGGGCTCTAACATGCTGCCCTACTCACGGAAGGCAGGGCGCCCCAGCCAGGCGGTCTTCAGCAGGACCATCAGCGGTTTTCTCTGCCGTGTGGGCAGCAGAAAGGACACACATGTCTCCCTAGCACAGGTCACTGAGGCCTGCCGGCTTCCTGCTGCTGTCGGGGTCGCGGCATCCCATCAGGAGTGTGACACAGTAGGGAAAGAGACCGGTTCACTGTGAGACCTGCTACTCACTCTCGGACAGTGCCTCGGCCCCCCTTCCCACTGCACAGTGGCTGCCGCAGGAGGCTGTGGCCCTCCAGACCATAAGCCAGGGTCTGAGTTCCATCGGGACACAGGCTGCAGTGTCAGTGGCCTTCTTCTCAAAACGCTGCTTTCTAGGATGCTACAGAAACAACCTAATTTGGTGCCCTAGCCTTAGGAACAGGGGAAAAGTCTCTTTAGGTTGAAAAGGGGGAAAAAAGTATGAACTAGGAAGATAGGGATGTAGCTGGCTCTCTGCTTTCAGAGAAACTAAGAGGATCCTCAAGTCATTTACGGAGACCGCGTTTCACATGCACGCTAGGAACGCTAGGGATGCTAGGGATGCTGGTGTGACATGGGCTTCTCTTCCTTGGACCTGTCACTTTTCCACATGGAGTTAATCAAATGCTCCTTTATCTTCTCTGGGGAAGGGAAATGAGCTGATTTAAATTGCCAAGCTTGGATACTCATCCAAAGAGGACAGCTGAGAGATTTATGTGCAATATAACTGAGTTGGAGGAGAAAATGGGAAACGGATTCCAAGTACCTGCTTGCTGTGCTGTCTGTGGCATCTGCTGGCCTCTCGGAGCACTGAACTGAACAGAGGCCATGGGCCGGTACTGCTGCGTGGTTGAGGTAGGGTACTGACCAGATGGATAATAATATACAGGCATCTGTGGAAGAAAGGGAACAATGGCAGCAAATGAGAGCTGTAAATGGAGTAACATTTTGAAACGTAAAATATTGTCATCTTATGACATAATGTGAGTACAGTAGATTGCAAAGACGGCCACCACGCCTACGTGTATGTGTGTGTGTGTGTGTGTGTGTGTGTGCCTTACTGCTCCCATGAAAAGGTGAAATCTACTCCCGAAAGCCATGAATCTGAGCTGGCTCTGTCTGCTTTGACCAATGCCATGAGACAGAAATGATGACTTCTGAGACTTGTAAGCCTGATCCTTAAGAAGACTTGCAGCTTCCACTCTTTCAGGAGAGAACCCAGCCACCAGGAGAAGTCCAGGCTACCCAGCTGGAGAAAGAGGCCGTGTGGAGAACAGAGGCAGCCCAGCCAAGACCCCAACACTGCAGCATGTAAGTCAGGCCACCTGGGATCTTTCAGGCCCAGTCAAGCCACATGTGGTGCAGAGGCGAGCCATCGCTGCCAAGTCCTGTTCAAATTGCCGACCTGGCTGTGAGCAATACAATGGTGATTGTCTTAAGGTGCTGAATTTTGTGCTTTTTAAACAAGAGTGAATGAAACAAGAGTGAATGAAACAGTCATCTACAACAACACATTTTTACGTAGTTTTAAATATGATCATTAACTTGAATTGTTTTGCTAATGGAAACACAGGTAGGTCATGAAATCTGCTGATCTCCTGCATAAAAGAATCAGAGGATGAAATTATGAAATATGGGGAGGCCCAGCAAAGCACTTTTCAGGGTGATTGGCACATAGCTGGTATCCCAAAAAATGGATGTTCAGTTTTAAAAGGGACATATGTTAAAAATACTGTTCATGTCACCTTCTGTCACTTTCTAATGACTAAGAATGATTGAAAATACTCTAATTACTTCCAATAAGATTCAAATCAAATGTCTCCTGACCTGGAAAGACTTCCTTGCCTGCCTCAGGTCATTTATATTAAGGCTGTTTTCTTATTTTTTAGAAATTTATTTATTTATTTTGGGCTGCGATAGGTCTTCGTTGCTGCACGTGGGCTTTCTCTAGCTGCGGCGAGCGGGGGCTACTCTTCCTTGTGGTGCCCGGGCTTCTCATTGCGGTGGCTTCTCTTGTTGAGCATGGGCTCTAGGAGGGCAGGCTTCAGTAGTTGTGGCTCACAGGCTCTAGAGCGCAGGCTCAGTAGTTGCGGTGTCCAGGCTTAGTTGCTCCGCGGCATGTGGGATCTTCTCGGACCAGGGCTCGAACCCGTGTCCGCTGCATTGGCAGGTGGATTCTTAACCACTGCACCACCAGGGAAGCCCTGTTTTCTTATTAATCGATTACTTTTTAATTTACAGGCCTCTGACTTTTCTTCTATCAGCGTCTTTAAAGTGTAAGCAGAGGTGTGCCAGTACACAGCCTGCAAGGATTATCTGCTTAGAATAACATTAGGAGCCACCTGTTGAAGAACTGTGAATTTTATGGCTATTTTATTTTCCCTCTTTGCCTTGTCCATATATATATATATATATATATTTTTTGCGGTACGCGGGCCTCTCATTGCTGTGGCCTCTCCCGTCGCAGAGCACAGGCTCTGGACGCGCAGGCTCAGCAGCCACGGCTCACAGGCCCAGCCGCTTCGCGGCACGCGGGATCCTCCCAGACCGGGACACGAACCCGTGTCCCCCGCATCGGCAGGCGGACCCCCAACCACTGCGCCACCAGGGAAGCCCTTGTCCATACATTTTTGCTTCACCCTTCCAGTGGGCGTTCAGAAAGCATTCACCCAAATCAGACAAAATTGACCTTTAAGGTTATTAAATAGGTCATTTTCTGCATAAACATAACGTATTTCCATATATGCCCATGGACTGTACCTCAAGTGTTCTTTTCAACACTATACATAATTGAGTAACTGAGTTTTAAAATGTTTACTAAATTGACAATCACTGTGGGTTATATCCTATACCTTTATCTGTGGTACTTTTACAAAGAAGTTCACAGATGTCCAGACTGCTCATGAGTATCTGTTTTCCTTTTTTTTTTCTTCCGTCCCTCTTTCTATTTTTAAATCTGTTGGAGAGGGAATGAAAGCATTTCTGTTGCAGACACACCAAAGCTCTGAGTTGTCTTTGCTCTTGTAGTGCACTAATTATTGAAATTCCTTCAATCAAGGAAGGGCATTTTTTAAAAAAAGTCTTCAATTAAATATTCTGCCAACTCTTCTCTTTGACATCAGAAAAGGGTGACACTTAGATGCTATTTAGGCTAAAAGAGTTAAACTATTTTTCCCTGATAATTAAAGTAAATATTTATTAGTAAAATAATTAATATATCAATGAGGTCCTTTCTCCTGTAACTCAAAATTATTTTTAACATCTCCTTAAACCCTACCAGCAACACTACTACATTACATAGAAGGCAACTAAAGATTGACTATTAATTGTCACTCAAAATAAAATGAACAACTGGGTGAAAATCATTTCATGGTGGAGGATTCTGCATGGCTGGAAAAGAAAATAATTTATTCAAGATGTTAAGGCAATGCCACACCACAAATGATACGAAGGTGACACTGTACTTTAAACGGCTCATCCAATGCAATATTTCCTAATTAGGATGGAATTTGCTTGGGATATGCATGCCTTGAAAATGGACCAGAAAACGCTTCTGTGCATTTTACATCTTGACAGTAATCACTTGCAATATTCTGCAAGGGATACCCAGGAGAGCCCCAGAGATGTTTGGTGGTGAAGAGTAACACATCATCAGTCTTTGAGAAGACAGTAAAAATCAGTGATCTGTGGTGTCTTACATGCTCAAGTCAATTAAATATGATTAATGGCTACCTGTGAGCATGTGCAGGAGCCCCGCTCCCCAGGGGAGTGGAGAGGACAGTGGATGGGGCTTAGCTTCCTCCTTTATATTCAGAGAGGAGCCCCAGAAAAGCTCCAGAAAATGCTTATGAACGGATAAGAAAGGAAACAACACATTTCCAGAGCAGCAGCAAGAGAGATGAAAGTCCCCCAGGAGCTGGCCTTCCCCTTTCTTCCCCGAGGCTTTCCCTCCCTGGGCAATCACCCCAGTGAGTTGACATCCTGCTGGAGGGCGATGCTCTCCCATGGCCTCTGCACAAACAGCCTGGAAAATGGGCCACTTCCCCTGGTACCAGGGACACGGGTCTGCGTCATTAAACTTACTTTCTGAGCCCCCAAGACTTCACACAACTGATGAATGCGACAGACCGGGTCCTGTAGGCTGGGAATATCAGTATGGACCACAAGAGCGAGATGAGTTGAGCTGGTGATATTCTACATGGAAACAGAGGTCAAGATGCACCAGCAACCAGCTCTGGGTCACAGGTGTGAGAAAAAGCACACTTACCTGTGTGGGTGGAGGCTGTTGCACAAATCCCTGGGGCGAGGGAGGGGGCTGGAGGACTTGCTGGGAGATGGGAGGGCCGGAGCCCGAGAAGCCCCCCGTTGGGAGCTGCTGGCCTGTGGAGGCGATGACGTAGCTTGGCTGCTGGGTGGGCTGCGGCAGGAGGGACGGTGTGTAGACAGGGCCGGCTGGGGGCTCGGGAGTCTCCCCCGAGGACTGCCGGCTCAGGTTCATCTGGCCAAACTGCGTGGTCACATCCTCTCTCTGCAAGCCATGGAGAGAAACCAGGGCGTCAGCAAGAGTGGCTGAGGAATGGGAGTGGCAGACATAGGACACAGGCTTGTCCTTATGGGAGACGGAGGGAGAACAATTTGGAAAAAATAAACGAAAGGAATTCTCTGTTCAGAACACCAAGAGAACATAACAAGAGAAGACAGATTTTAATCATCTTGAGGATTAGAGATGGCAAACAGTTTGACCTGTATCTCCCTCTTTCAGTGGAAACAAATTATTATTTTTTTCACTGAGGGCTTGGGATCCTCAGGATGGCACTGAGACAGGAAGGATTTGGGGCTCTGTCCTGGAGGGTCATCTGGTCTACCAGCAGTAACCATAGGATCTGCCTTCTGGAGGACGCAGAAGGACTTGTGCTGCCCATGGCTGCCACAAAGAACTGGTGTCATCAGTGGGGTTTCATTTGCACGTTAAAGAGTATTTAGTCACTGGCCTGGCCTGATGTTCAGGGACAATGCTCACTCTTGTTGTCCAAAAGGACCTAGTACATTGAGGAGAAATGAGAGGCCGTTGGAGGATTGGGATTCTAGGGGAACACCTGTATCAGGAGCACAGGGTGATGTCAGTTACCATCTGGATATTGACTTTTAAGGTATTTCCCAACCCTCACACCAAGCTCATGTGTCTCTCTGTTCCTGACATGTAACTCTGAGGACATTCAATTCCCGCTTAGCTTGCAAACTCTTAAAAGGGTACCACTGCAGAGGCACTAAATATGGGACAGATGACAGAAAGGAAAGCATTATTTTGGAGAATGAGACATTCACACACCACCTCCCCCCTTACAGTCAGCCCAGGGCACCCACCCAGCATCAGCCTGCCCTGCACAAGAAAGTAGTCAAACCAGTGAATATGCTCTCCCAGGTGAAAAGTCATCCCCACATGATACAGTACCATGGGGAACTGCGGCGTCGGAGACACGGGCAGGAGATGCTGGGAAGCAAAAGACACAGCTGGGTATTGCACTGACTGGGAGGAAGCCTGCAGCCCCTGGACAGACTGGAGGAAAGAAAAAGCTTGTCAGGTAACAGGGAAATACTGGGGGTTGAAATCCCACCGGAAGGCGATCGCATCTGAAGCACACCACCGTCCCCCTCATAGGTCCTCCTGGTTCAGTGCACTCCAGAGAGGGGCACCAGCCACCAACAGGAAGCCAATGCAGGCAGACCAGCGCCAGCCAGCCTTGAGGGAGGCTTGCTGCTCAGATATGAAGTCCTGTGTGTAAAACTTTTGAAAATTGTAAAGCACTATGGAGAGTAAAGAATCTTTCGTTCAATTAAAAAAAAAGAAGTTATTGTGATACTTTTCATGTTGTTGGTGGTGGTCAGATCCCTGGGTCTAAAAATATACTCCAAGTACTAAAAAGTAAGAAAAAACAAACAAAAAAAATGAGGTTCAGGGGACTTCCCTGGCCATCCAGTGGTTAAGACTCTGCTTCCACTGCAGGCCCAGGAGCCAAGATCCCCGCATGCCGCCCACTGTGGCCAAAAAAAAAAAAAAAAAAAAAAAAAAAGAGGTTCACCCTGGCAACCTGCCTGGAACACTTCAGGTTTCTGAACATTTCCATGTGTTGCCCTAGAAAAGGAGGACAGCCCAATGTCTCTCCAAGGGACAAATGAACAGTCAGGCCACCTGATCTGCATTAGGAATGGGTGAGCAAGGTGACACAACGGCCTGGATGGGCTGGAGTTCAGTCCCCTAGACAGTACAAGCTCCTTGACACATAAAAGCAGCATCTAGATCTAAGACGAGACTTGTCATTCATTTTCCCAAGTACCATGCCTCACCATGCGAGTCACTGGACAGGGCCCTCGTCTCTACCTAAGCTTAAGGCTCCAGCTGAAGTCCTGTCAACGTGAAACCAAGGGCTCTAGGCTGCCAGGTTTTATTATGGAGTTGAGTGGATGGGACTGGCACCCATGGAAAATATCGCCTCTTCCTGATGCACCGCATCGCTGAGGCTGGTGCAGTCTGCGTCTCCGAGCACTTCCCCTCCCTGCCTTCCCACCAGCTCTTACCTGAGTGACCAGTGGGCCTGCCATTTGCGTCTGGGGTGGCTGGGCCTGCTGCTGGGGTCGCGGGGAGGGCTGCTGCTGGGGCTGCTGCTGGGGCTGCCCCACCATCGCGCTTCGCAGGGGCTGCTGGCTGGTGGGGGGGTTGTATATGGCGGGGGTTCCATCGGGATTCACGAAGGGCTGGCCTGCAGTGGAATCACACCTTGGTCAAGGTAAACTTCTCAAGCTCTCCTTTGGCACAAAGAACCACTCCGACAGATACTCAAAAATGGAACCTAAAGCAAAGGGGCAGGGGAAGTCCAGGACACTGGAGCCTTTGCCAGTGTGAAGGCTTGACTGTTTATGACCCATCAGGCTGAGCGAGGTAACAGCGTAAGCCCACAGCAACTTAAAGAAGCCGCAAATGAATCCATCACCTTCAAGGCAATTTGCCAAAGCTAAGTGCATCTGTACAGTGGCACCCAGTGCAGAAGGCCTGTGGAGAGGCAACCTTCACCAAGCCCTGTGTCTTGTTGCCCTGCACCTCACAGCTACCAGCGAGACAACTTACACTGAAATATAAGGGCTGCTTTCCGTTTATACGGCTCTGGCGACATTCAGTTACTCAAGGTTTACCAATATATTTGTTTTGCTTCCACTGGGCTGGTCACCAACTTAGAATCATTATCAGTTCCACAAATATATATACAACCAGGATATACCACATGCATTCACTCGCTTCTCTCACAAGCAGGAGTACACAGGGAAGGGGATAGAGATTCTGAAGGTGATGCATAATAAACCCATCACAGAATCATCTTGTCATGGCAGAGCAAATATACATTATTTTGCCTTTTGAGATAATGGCTTGGTTCACTGTTATTGTTCCTACTATTTGAGGAGTATTTTATGGTTTACAAAACAGTATCACTGGAACCTCACTGGGCCTCTGGGGAAGGTAGGTATCATCTCCCTATGTTTCAGAAGAGGAAATGAAGGCCCACCAGGAAGATTACAGGAATAAAGAGCTGAAAGGAAGAGACTAAAGGGCAGCAAATGAAAGAGAGAGAAAGGAGGTAAGGGAGAGAAGAAATGGATTTCCAATATGGAAGGTGCAGCAACAGGCACCTTACATCCATGGTCTTCTCTTCCAAGAGCCCCACAGGTGTGCAATCTCATTCCACTTTAGAGACAAGACAATCAAAGTTTGGAGGGCCCAAGCAATTTATTCAGAAATACACAAAGCAGTAAGTGAGACAACCCAGGAAATGGCCCTGGTCCATTCACCTCCCATCATACCACACAACTTAAGTGAATTATCCAAGTTTGCTTAATGAGTACATGGTACAACGAGGTACCGTGAAAAAAATCCAATTGTGACTGAAAATTATTCATCAACACATGAGAAGTTTGGAGAGGTGGGGGCCGTGTTTCAAGGTGGAATCACCCCCAGGATTGGTAAATAAAGAAGAATCAGAATCTGGGGGAAAAGATGGGCAAAGTGCTTACAGCGAAAGAGCAGTGGACTTGATTTCAGCTCAGTTAGGAACCGACATGAAAGCTTTAGCAGTCCCCAAATTTTCAGTACCCTCCCAAATATTTATATACATATGTATGTGTGTATGTACGCAACAAGTAACCTTACATGCTGCACATTCAAGAACATACCTGCCAGAACCACAGGAGTTCTAACAACAGTTTCATAACCAATCACAACATGATGTGATGGAAAAGCAAATGTGCCAGAATTTTAGTCAGAGAACAATGACTAAATTTAGAGGTTTTTTTTTTTTTTTTAAATGTTCTTCATAAGCACTTGTTTTCCTATCACTGTTACTTAATTTTAGCTATATTTTATTGTTTTAAATTATTGTTCTTTTTTCCAAAATAACTCTTCTGAATTTAAAATCTGCAACCCATTTTTTTTTTTTCCCTGCAAAACCCAGCAATTTGGGAAAGGATGAAAAAAAGGTCAGTTTACAAAAATCTATTAGCCCATTTGGGGTTCTAATCCTTACTTGTCTCCTCTCTGTGTATCTTAATAGGGAAGAGGAAAATTTTAGGTACCGAACATTTAAAAAAAATTATCACAGCAACTTCATACAAAATCATTTCAAAGTCAACCTCACTCTAAGCTCACACACACACACGGATGGAAAACTAAAAAGAAAAGGCTCTTTACTATGTCTGTGACTTTTGATTTACCCCAGTGAGAATTAAGGAAGTGTGAAAAACTGACCATATTTAGGGTGAAAATATAACAGCAAAATATTCAGATGCCATTTTCGATAAATTTTAGACCCTCTGTTTAAAATATTATTATTGTGCTGTGGACCAGAAGAAAGAAATATTTCTAAATAACCGCATGTGGAAAGTACTAAGAATTCACTTGGGTAGAGAGAGATGGCAGGTTCTTCTAGAAAGAGAAGGTAGTATAAAAGGTTGATTCTTATGCTCACCAAGGAATGGTGGAGAGAACTGAGGAAAATGAAAGAAGTCAGATGGATGCCAGGGAAGAGACCAAAAACAATTTTCTAAGAGGGCCGGGATGACTGACTGTTGGTTTTCAAGTCAGGCTACGGTGGCTTCTCAGTATTCTACCTTGTTTACCAATCCAGATGCAATTACGACTGAATCCAGGCAATTAGCTTGAATGACAGTGGCTGAAAATCAAAAGAGAAAGACTCACTAGCTCTAGGACTATTCCGCTTAGCAGAGGTTTTCATGTCAGAACTGCAGAAGCGTGTCCAGCAGGCCTTGGAATGGGTGTTAGCAGGTAAAGAGAGTGTAGGGACAGAGGTAAGCCAGTGTGGTGAGCTGAGCCAGGGCAGAGAAAAGGATTGAATGCAGAGCGTCCGTCGCTCTCAAATACATAACTTTAGGTGAAAAACGTCTCCACTATTCACATCAACGTGTGTAATGTGCAGCAGACATTATGTTACTAATATATAATGATTGAGCCCCTGCATGGTGACTAAAGCTTTGTTACCCATTCCAGGGATGCAAAACAAAAGACGAGAAACGAAGTAGGACTCCTCCTCCCAAAGAGCTTACCAATGTGCTGGTAATAAGGAAATGAATCCAAGGGCAGTTCACACTAGAAGCAAAGTAATCATATGCTCTTGGTTTCCAATACCAAAGCACTGCTACCATGTACCCGGCAGAAGGGTATTATTTAAAAAGAAAGGGAAGGGATGATGGGAAAAATATTTTCCTTTCCTAGTCCTTAGAAGGTGAGCAATCAAATGATTAGGGAGCTGATGATTATGGATAAGCAGAGACTGATTCAGGACTTGCAAAGATACATTTCTAGACAGCACACAAAAACTTCATGGTGCATTTAATCGAAAGGTGGAAGCACTTTGGATAAATCGATTCTAGAAGTCCTGTGAAAAACAAAAACAGCATAGTTTATGGAAGCATTTGAAAGAGACCAGCCCTCAAAGGCGGCTCAAAGTCAAATCCCTGCAGATGGCGTGTTCTTCCATCTCATGCTCCTGGACTCCTGCCAGATGAAAGCAAAGCAAAATGGCAAAACAACACACACGGCACTAACGAGCACTTGAGGGATGCCAACACCTGTTGACATCTCTGGATAGCACTGAGTTGAAAGAAAATAGCCAAAGATGAGCTTTCAGCTAGAAATTTCCAAACTGAGGCTGAGTCCAAGACGGCTGGAGGAAGATCATTCTCAAGAGTCAAACCCAGGCTTGCCTGGCAAGGATGAAGATGTGGTCCAGGGATAACTTTGAGAAAGAGCCTCTGAATCCCTCATCCAGATGCCTGCAAAGCAAAGAAACAACAGCCAACGCAGGTTTAGAGTTGGAAATGGACCAAATGGGAGCTGAGTCTAAAGCCAGACGAAATAAAAAGTCCTGGTTGTATCTGGGGAGCCACAAGAATGTATGTGAGTGGGTTGATTTCAGCTGCCAAATATTCAGTTCCTAGTAAGAGCCCGGTCAATTGTGCTGACAAAGGAAATTTCATTTTTGTTTCATTTACTAGACAAATGACTGGCAGGCACCTTAGTATTTCAAATCATTGCTTGTCTTATTACTGCTTAAGACAGATATTTAATCAATCATTGTTTTACATATGAGGGACATTCTCAAATATATGACATTGGATGAAAAGCTGCTCTATTATCCACATTAGCATATATGATGAATAGTAGATATTGTTTCAAAAATATGTAATTGTTGAGGACCTTTGTTATCCACTCTAGGAAGGCCAAAAATATAACCAAGTACGGTTCCTCCCCACAGGCGCATGAATGTGCAGGTAACAGGGAAATGTAGCCAAGGGCAATTCACATAAGAAGCAAAGTAGTCATATGCTCTGGGTTGCTTATACCAAAGTGTTCCTACCACCTATTTGGCAGAGGGTATTTAGGAAAAGGTAAGAGGTGTGGATTCTTGGGGAACACAGCAATGCCAGAGAAAGATGAGTTTCAGCCCAAAGGAGGCAAATTTCCAGTTTCAATAGTAGAGTCAAATAAGTGATCAGATAGCCTGATAGACAGACATGCATATGACTCACCACAGATACACATATACATACATATATATGATACGTGATAGATGTATACGTACATTCATATGTGCTGGCATATGTGTGTGTGTGTGTGTGTGTGTGTGTGTGTGTGTGTGTGTGTGTGTGTTTTGGTCATGCCACATGACTTATAGGATCTTAGATCCCTGACAAGGGATTGAACCTGGAGCCATGGCAGTGAAAGCCTTAAATCCTAACCACTGGACCACCAGGGAACTTCTGTTCATATTTTTTTAATTAATTAATAAATTAATTTATGGATGCATTGGGTCTTTGTTGCTGCCTGCAGGCTTTCTCTAGTTGCAGCGAGCGGGGGCTACTCTTCGTTGCAGTGCGCGGGCTTCTTATCGTGGTGGCTTCTCCTATTGCAGTGCATGAGCTCTATGCACGCGGGTTTCTGTAGTTGTGGCGCACGGGCTTAGTTGCTCCTCGGCATGTGGGATCTTCCCAGACCAGGGATCGAACCCGTGTCCCCTGCATTGGCAGGCGGATTCTTAACCACTGTGTCACCGGGAAGTCTCCCCACGCATATTTTTAATTGACAAAAATAAACACATTCTGGGAAAAAAGAAATATCACAATTCACCTTACATCCCACCACTCAATCACAGAATAGAATCGTACATCTTCCTCCTGGTCGAGGGATAGTTTTATGTCTAGCATTTGTCAGATCAGAGATGTGTGTAGGGAAACTCTGTTGTTCAACAGTATTATCGGATCCTTTTCTTTAGTTAGGATCCTTTTGCAAAGGATAAATTTTAATAACAGCTCCAAATTACTCATTCCAATTTGTAATTGGGGCTTGGCACCAAGAGCACATTCTTTCCTTTTCTATAAACAAGATTATAGATGATAATATACACATACACACACACATCCACACTTTCATTACAAATCATATTCCTGCACTGTACCCTAAAAAATACTCTTTTGAGCTTTCCCGAAATACTCTGCAATTTTGGTTAAAACATAACACTCAAAACTATGCTTAGTGGCTACTCTTGTCTACAAACCTTCCATCTCAATTAAAAGCGAAAGAATTAAAGCTGACAAAGTCAGATCATACTTTGAGCTGTGCCCAGAGTAATGAATATGATCCTGGTTTTCTTTCCATTTCCTTTATAGTGCTTACACTGATCCAGATATCTAATATTCTCCTTAGAAGTATCTAATCTGAAAGCTTTCAAATGGTTTTCAATAAAATGATTATGCCTCCTTTTCCCTCAAACTTGTGGCATTTTCAAAATGTCTCAATCAGACACCATTCCTTAAGAATGTGCCATATGTTTTCATGAAAATGTGGCAATTATTCAAGTAACTATTTTACTGTCATGCTTCTCTGAATTTCCTACTTATTAGTAGCACTAGACATGTGAGAAGATTGAGCCAGATCACTTTTATGAGATTCCCATCCAGCGCTGCATTTTTAAGTAATCTAAACCAAACCTCAGATATATTTTGAGAAAATTCATTTTTTTTTTCAATCTCTTTCAAAGGTTTCTAGAGAAGTGACTTGTCAAATCAAGCCTTCTAACCCAGGGTTTACCAGCCCTGGCACTACTAACATATTGGGCTGGATAATCTTCCTGTGTTAGGGGTTGTTCTGTGCATTGTAAGATGTTTAGTAGCATCTCTGGTCTCTACCTTCTTAGATGCCAGTAGCAGCCCCTCCTCCCTAGGTCATGATAATCAAACTATCTGCAGATATTGCCAAATGGCCTTGGAGGCATGGAAAAATTGCCTCTGGTTGAGAAGTTTCCCCCATGAAGCAGGTGTTCATCAGTCTATTTGCCCAATGCTCTGGGTCCTCTGAAATTAGTGTGGAAGTTAACTGACCACAGGAGAAATTAAAAAAGTAAAAAACATAAGATGTACAAACTGTTAGGTATAAAACAAACCACAAAGATATACTGTACAACACAGGGAATATAGCCAATATTTTACAATAACTATAAATGGGGCATAACTTTTAAAAATTGTGAATCACCATATTGTACACCTGTAACTTATATAATATTGTAAAACTATACCTCAATTTAAAAAAAGTAAAAAAAATGGCCATTCATCATGAAAGAAACAATAGTCATGAAGTTACCGATTTTCCAAACCCCACCAAAACCTGTCTAATCCTAAAATCCCTAAAATACATAAGAACTTGCCCTCTGTATTCTCTTGCCACTGCTGTTCCTTATTTCCCAGTGGGAGTTGCATGGAGTTCTAAGGTGGGAAGTCAATTTCTGTAGTGAAGAATCTGCTCCAACTGAGATCTCAAGTTCCTGAAATATCTTGGATGCAAAAATGCTTTTGACACAACAACAAGCTAACCACGGATTTGGTCTGAGAAACATCAATTTTCAATTAGTACATCCTGATTCTTCACTCCATGGTTTCTTATCTTAGCTCCTGAGAATACGTGAGAGACACCGTGCTCAAGGAAGAGGACAGAGAGAAAAGCGGATATTTCTGGGAAGTATCTGTATTTCGATTTACATACCAATATTGATAACGATACAGAGATACAGATTCCAGCTCTCTATAGATCTGCTCTTCCTAAATGAAGACCCTACACAACAACCCACGCACCAGGAATTTTCAGAACACTTGCTAGCAAAGTTATAAGCTCAAACACAAGAATAAACCTCTGATATCATGTCTCAGCCAAAGCAGAGGTAATGAACGAACCTGTATGTGGATTAAGAAGGATGCTTCCGGGTGGGATGCCTGTGGCAGCTTCGAGGGGAAGGAGGATGTAGCTGGTGCTGCTGTGAGCGACCTGGCCTCCCATCCCATTCTCTGGGTAGGTCACACAGCCGGGAGAAGTGGCTGCCACGCCCGAGACCAGCGGTGAGCTCTGGAGAGGTGGATGGGTACGCGACAGCGATCCTGACGAGCCTGCACTGCTGGACGACTCAGAACCTACCGGAGAGACACAAATCAACAAATCATTCCACACGGAGGAGAGGAAAGAAACCACTACTTAGTGTAAAGAATCCATCACTAAAGAATCTGAGGTGAGCACTGCAGGATGAGATTAACTAATGCCCCTCCCACATGTGATTGAAATATTTGCTGCATATTTTTCAGATGTGTCAGATTTCTAGGAAAAGAGAGATTAAGAATGAGCTCTCTCTTTCCAGCTTCTCACATGCCACTAGGGTGATGAATTGGTAAATGGTACCATAAAGCTGGGAACTCAGGGCCTGAAAACTCCCATTTCCCTGAGTAACTAATGAAGTGGAAATGTCTCACTGAGCTGGAGTTACGACAGTAAAATGACTGGGATGGAGGTTAAAGAGACTGCAGTTTAAGGAGGAGTCTGTGGTCATGCAGATGGTTCTAAAGTACTGGTTCTCCAACATCTGTAAAGCTGCATTTTGAAGGATCATGGTCAGAAACGATCTTTTCCCTCAAATGTGAGTAGAAGAACTCGCTCATTCCTATTAGAAATGCTTAAGAGCTGCACTGTACCTCCCATACTCACAGAAGTCTTGTTAATATGACCAAGAGGTGAACCAAGGAGGGCTTGGCCGTCATGATATTGACTGAGCATCCTTCAGATGACATAGAAGAGTAGAATCATGGGGAGATTTGTGGACTGTAGATTCCTCAAATATGTAAGTAACTGGGTCAGTGTGCAGAAGCTCCCAAGATGGAATCCAGCCCTAATCATCTCCCTTTCCCTCCAATGTGGACAAGAAAAGCTACAGCCCACGTCCATTAGGCACCAGCCACTCTTCACTGCAACCAGAGCCAAGCAGCTCCAGCACCCTTGACTGTGGCTGTTCTGGGCTCTGAATATTAACCAGAGCCTCAGAGAGAAAATGCACTGAGCAAAATTTCTGTATCTGTGAATTCAAACTAAGATGGATTGAGTGACATCACAGTTTGAAAGAACGGAGTATAAGAAACTTTAAAAACTATCAGCCCACATTATTGACTTATGTCATTAAAAATGCATTATTCTGTGTCATTAGAGGTTAACACATATAAGGAATAGTTAAGATTGTTTAGAAGATTCTAAAATGTGCCCTTAAACTGAAGACCTTTTTTTTTTCTGAACACAGATTCTTTTATTAAACCATTTTTTTTCAAAGTGATATTTAGTATAATGCCTTATAAATTATCTTTCTGCAAAACATAAAGAGGAAAAATATTCTGTACAGTGGATACTGGGAAGAATATAAGTAACAAAATAACATGTGATGAAGTTTATCTTTGAAATGATATGGCTTTTAGTTCTACTATCTGTTTTTGTTATGTTCCTTCTAAAATTCTCAGCATTTTTAATAATAAAAAGTGTGGCTGACGTATGAATTTCAACTCTACAGCCCTAACTTATTCCAGTACTAATAAGTGGTTAAAGGAATAGTAAGTGATTTGTCATCTTTAATGAGAATATGGAGTTCTAAATTATGGTAAATTGAAGACCTTTTTATTTTATTTTTATTGAAAAATTTTTTATTCTATATTGGAGTATAATTGATTAACAATGTTGTGTTAGTTTCAGGTGTACAGCAAGTGATTCAGTTATACATATACATGTGTCTACTCTTTTTCAAGTTCTTAAATACATGAGAGGAATACAACATGTGATTGCAGAGAAGAGGGGCCATTGGAGAGTGCGGTAATTTTTGAGAAGAAGGACAGTGATATTTACTGAGCATTTAGTATGTGTGGGTAACCTGATAAACATTGTAATCATAAGGACTATACTGCCTAGATAGATAGGGAAATGGAAGCACAGAAAAGGCAGCTAACTCAAGTCAACTCATACAGGTAGACAGTGACAGAGCTGGGATGTGATCCAGGCAGAATGATCTAGATTTAACCATGACCCAACACCGACTGCCACCAGTGTTCTCAGGTGGGAACCTTCTCTGCTTTTTCCATGACTTTATTATTCAGAATGATAAAGTTTCAGATGAATTCAGGATGTTCCATCTAACTAATGCTGATGGGTTTCTGAATAATGTATGGGCAGAAAAATGAAGGATAAAAGGAAATGTGGAAATACTAAGAGTAGTTTTCAGACCACACGGCTGACACATCTGATCCTGCAGTCACTACCCCAGTGCGTGCGTTTGTGGACTTGTGCCCATGATTTGATGCTACAGTCCAAGTTTGACACTTAGCAGCGTCAACAACAACAGCAAGAACAGTAATAATACAATAACACTTCCTGACCGCAGACGATGAAGCTCATACACAACTGACTCAGCCCACATCCAGGCTGAGGGGTTAGACAGTAAGAAAAAGTCGGGGCTAACAAGGCATCTAACACCATGCTGGGCGTGTGTGCTGGTGGTGGAGATTGATACACAGAGACTAACGTGCCTCAACAAAATCCAAAAGATGACTTCATTTTGGCTTTTAGAAGATGGCCATTCATCACTGATTGACAATATTTCCTTCTGCTGGCTGAGAAAAAGCAGCAGCTTCAACAGGAATAATGAGGAGAACAAGGTAAAGATAATGGAAATGATTTGATCCCACAGGTTAAAAGAAGGGAAGAAGGAAAATCAAATTTGGCTTAAACTCTCAACACTTGCAAAGATGGAGGCAGTCAGACCTCCCTGGAGCGATGGCTCAACAATCACCCTGCAGGCTGGCTGGTGTATAACCAGCTCTGACCAGTTTCTAAACATCCATCACCTAGAATCAGGGAAAGCAGTATTCGACACGTAGCCAGCATTACTGAAATTCTTGATCAAAAATGGCTGCTACCGATGGTGATAAAAGGCACAGGATTAGAAGTGTTCACAGATTAAAAAAAAAAATTAATACTTGAGAACTTTACTACTTTGCGTGCTGAGAGGGGTTTGTGCTTCCTTGTTTAGGGACTTAGTGACAGCAACGGCAAATATTTAAACAGTATGTCTATGTGACAAACAGTGTTAATCACGCTATATGAATTATCTAATCTACTTTTCATAGCAACCTCATTTTGCAGCTGAGAACTGATCCTCAGAGACGTTAAGTAAATTTCCCAAGTACAGTTAGCGCGTGGAGGAGTCTGAGTTCAAACCCAGGCAATGCAACTTCAGGGACCAAGCTTGAAGCCTGCAGGTCATGTGTTTACCCTAAAGTCATTCCAGCAAGAACCAGGTAGGACCAGGGCCCTGACCAGGCCTATGCCAAGTTCTAGGAGATACTGCACAGAAATTCAGTGCTACTCATAACGGGATGCTCAGAAATTGAAGCTGGACCCTGAGGGGCAGCTGGTGGGAGGTGTAGACCAAAGACACTAGGGTGGCTGGGTGAAAGCCTCAGATGAACCCTCAAGAGGGACACAGGAAAAGGGAAAAATGGGAAGAGATTGGAAAAGAGATCATAAGGCAAAGCAAAATAGAATCCAGGAAAGGGATGGGGCAGAAAGGAAAGGGCAAGGGAAGAGTCCCTTGGAGGAGGGAATGAGCATTCACTCCCCAGGGAGGGAGCACCCTGAGTTGTGTTTCCAGTTCTGCCAGAACTAGTTGTATTTCCTTCAGGAAGTGACATTTTCTTTAGACCTCAATGTCTTCTTTGTTAAATATAAGCCACCAGATTAAATGATGAGTATAGCTGAGGATGATGCCCTTGAAGTTCCCCTCAGTTTAACTATATTTTAAATAGGTTTCTTTCTGATTACAGGCCCTTTACCTCCCTTTTCTCAGCGCATCTCTGCTCCTCAATAGACGCAGAGAAAGCTTTCGACAAAATTCAACACCTATTTATGATAAAAAGCCTGCAGAAAGTAGGCATAGAGGGAACTTTCCTCAACATAATCAAGGCCATATATGACAAACCCAGAGCCAACATCGTCTTCAATGGTGAAAAACTGAAACCATTTCCACTAAATCAGGAACAAGACAAGGTTGCCCACTCTCACCACTCTAATTCAACATAGTTTTGGAAGTTTAAGCCACAAAAATCAGAGAAGAAAAAGAAATAAAAGGAATCCAAATCGGAAAAGAAGAAGTAAAGCTGTCACTGTTTGCAGATGACATGATACTATACATAGAGAATCCTAAAGATGCTACCAGAAAACTACGAGAGCTAATCAATGAATTTGGTAAAGTAGCAGGATACAAAATGAATGCACAGAAATCTCTGGCATTCTTATACACTAATGATGAAAAATCTGAAAGTGAAATTAAGAAAACACTCCCATTTACCATTGCAACAAAAAGAATAAAATATCTAGGAATAAACCTACCTAAGGAGACAAAAGACCTGTATGCAGAAAATTATAAGACACTAATGAAAGAAATTAAAGATGATACAAATAGATGGAAAGATATACCATGTTCTTGGATTGGAAGAATCAACATTGTGAAAATGACTCTACTACCCAAAGCAATCTACAGATTCAATGCAATCCCTATCAAACTACCACTGGCATTATTCACAGGACTAGAACAAAAAATTTCACAATTTGTATGGAAAAACAAAAGACCCCGAATAGCCAAAGCAATCTTGAGAAAGAAAAATGGAGCAGGAGGAATCAGGCTCCCTGACCTCAGACTATACTACAAAGCTACAGTAATCAAGATAGTATGGTACTGGCACAAAAGCAGAACTATAGATCAATGGAACAGGATAGAAAGCCCAGAGATAAACCCATGCACATATGGTCACCTTACCTTTGATAAAGGAGGCAAGAATATACAGTGGAGAAAAGACAGCCACTTCAATAAGTGGTGCTGGGAAAACTGGACAGCTACATGTAAAAGAATGAAATTAGAATACTCCCTAACACCATACACAAAAATAAACTCAAAATGGATTAAAGACCTAAAATGTAAGCCCAGACACTATCAAACTCTTAGAGGAAAACATAGGCAGAACGCTCTATGACATAAATCACAGCAAGATCCTTTTTGACTCACCCCCTACAGAAATGGAAATAAAAACAAAAATAAACAAATGTGACCTAATGAAACTTAAAAGCTTTTGCACAGCAAAGGAAACCATAAGGAAGACCAAAAGACAACCCTCAGAAAGGGAGAAATTATTTGCAAATGAAGCACCTGACAAAGGATTAATCTCCAAAATTTATAAGCAGCTCATGCAGCTCAATAACAAAAAAACAAACAGCCCAATCCAAAAATGGGCAGAAGACCTAAATAGACATTTCTCCAAAGAAGATATACAGACTGCCAACAAACACATGAAAGAATGCTCAACATCATTAATCATTAGAGAAATGCAAATCAAAACTACAATGAGATATCATCTCACACCAGTCAGAATGGCCATCATCAAAAAATCTAGAAACAGTAAATGCTGGAGAGGGTGTGGAGAAAAGGGAACGCTCTTGCACTGTTGGTGGGACTGTAATTGATACAGCCACTATGGAGAACAGTATGGAGGTTCCTTAAAAAACTACAAATAGAACTACCATACGACCCAGCAATCCCACTACTGGGCATATACCCTGAGAAAACCATAATTCAAAAAGAGTCATGTAGCACAATGTTCATTGCAGCTCTATTTACAATAGCCAGGACATGGAAGCAACCTAAGTGTCCATCAACAGATGAATGGATAAAGCAGATGTGGCACATATATACAATGGAATATTACTCAGCCATAAAAAGAAACGAAATTGAGTTATTTGTAGTGAGGTAGATGGAGCTAGAGAGTCTGTCATACAGAGTGAAGTAAGTCAGAAAGAGAAAGACAAATACCGTATGCTAACAAATATATATGGAATCTAAGAAAAAAATGTCATGAAGAACCTAGGGGTAAGACGGGAATAAAGACACAGACCTACTAGAGAATGGACTTGAGGATATAGGGAGGGGGAAGGGTAAGCTGTGACAAAGTGAGAGAGTGGCATAGACATATATACACTACCAAACATAAAATAGATAGCTAGTGGGAAGCAGCCGCATAGCACAGGGAGATCAGCTCGGTGCTTTGTGACCACCTACAGGGGTGGGATAGGGAGGGTGGGAGTGAGGGAGACGCAAGAGGGAAGAGATATGGGAACATATGTATAACTGATTCACTTCGTTATAAAGCGGAAACTAACACACCATTGTAAAGCGATTATACTCCAATAAAGATGTTAAAAAAAAAAAGATGCAACTCTTCTCCCAGCCTTTTATCAGTTTTACAACACGGGAAGGTCTTTCTTAAGGACTTGGGAGCCATCCCTTTGAAGTGAAGTCCTCAAGAAAAACGGTGCCTTTCTCTGCAAGTCTCAGTACCAATTAGCAAACACAGGCGGTCTTATCAAATTGACCAATCAGCTCTTTAAGGCCCTCTAGCTCATTTACAGAGTCTTCTGCCTTTGTTTCAGCAGGGTTGAGTTTAGTTTCTCTCCCCTACTGCAACAGTCTTGACCTCTATTGAATTAGTTATGGGTAAAGTCTTCCCTGCCTCTTTAACTCATCAGATGCAATTTTTCTTTTACAGGGACCCTGAACCATGAGTATTTTTCTCTCCTGAGTTTGACAAAATGTTTCCAGATCCAAGTGTCAGAGTTCAGTAGAATAACCTAAAGCTTCTGAAATTACGAGGGAAAAAGAATATCCAGGATGCATTCGTGTAGTGACGAAAATAAACACGGAGAAGAGGAAGTGATGGAAAGATGAGGCATCTTGCACTGGCTCCAGAAATACCCCAGGGCATAGACCAGGAAGGTAACAACAACAAGGATACCTTTGCCTCCAGAAAATAAGATGCCAGGCCATGTAAAATGGTGAAAACAAAACGGAAGGCTATCTTATTTCTCCAGAGCAGTTGTTTCTCAAGCTTGGTTTGTAGAGAAGCCATCTGTGCTTGAACAAATTCTTCTTGTGAGTCTGATGCAGCTAAAGTCGAGAAGCCCTGCTCTGGACATCAAGACAGAAGGATGGTAGTAAAACAACATGGTGTAGCCAGTGTGGAAAGAAACATATCACACACTTATTTCTCAACCCCATGTTCATGGCAGCACTATTTACAACAGCCAAGACATGGAAGCAACCTAAATGTCCATCAACAGATGAACAGATAAGACGATGTGGTACATATATACAATGGAATATTACTCAGCCATAAAAAGATTGAAATAATGCCATCTGCAGCAACATGGATGGACCTAGAGATTATCATACTAAGTGAAGTAAGTCAGAAAGAGAAAGACAAATACCATATGATATCACTTATATGTGGAATCTATAAAAACAATACAAGTGAACTTATTTACAAAACAGAAACAGACTCACAGACTTCGAAAACAAACTTATGGTTCCCAAAGAGGGAAGGGTGGGGAGGGATAAATCAGGAGGTTGGGATTAACAGATACACACTAATATATATAAAATCGATAATCAACAAGGACCTACTGTATAGCACAGGGGACTCTACTCAACACTCTGTAATAACCTATATGGGAAAAGAATCTGAAAAAGAATTCAGTTATATGTATAACTGAACCACTTTGCTGTACACCTGAAACTAACACAACATTGTAAATCAACTATACCCCAATATAAAATAAAAATTAGATTTAAAAACCCAACCAACCAAACAAACAAAAAAACCCAACATGGTGTGGCCAGTGTGGAAAGAAATAGATATCACACACACTTCTCTCTCAACCCCATCGCCACTACCAAGAAACAGCTGGGGTCACAGTGCAAGCGCCATTTAAGTCCTGTTCCCAATGAGGATGTGATGAAATCAGCTGTCTCCACAGGCCTGCACTGGACCCCTGATAGGTGACCACTGCTGTGCTCAGTGCAGGGGGTACAATAAGGGAAATACAGCCCAGATCTCAAGAGGATGTGCTTGTGCATTCTGACTTCAGTTGATATGCTTTTCCCCAAATGTAGCAAAACATGTTTCCCACCTGGAAAGAGTCTCATTATTAACTATTTGAAGCTAGAACCTATGTAATTAGAGGAGGAGAAGAATAACTTAAACGTCACAACTCCAGACTTAGTTTCTAAAAGGTCAAAAAGTTTGCCATTCCACTGTGAACAATGAAGTAAAAAATCAGAAACTTGTGTGGTTCTGAAGCTCCATGACAGCAAAATTGACAGCTTTGCTTCATAAAACCATCTTGGGAGACTGTAAGTTTGTTTTGACATCCTATCTTGATCCCCTTTAATTTTTTTCTTGCCATTCCTGTACCCTGACAGGCTTTCAAATGGAGACACTTAGATGAAAAGAAAAAAAAAAAAAATGTCTGAAGCACTTACAATTTCTAATCATTCTTCAAAGAACATGGCATTTTAGCATTCTTGAAGTGTTTTAAATGTTTCCAAAGAGCTTTGCTTTGGAGATGATTGGTGGTTGGTGTGTGGAGAAGGACGATTAATTTAAAAATCTTAAGAGCTCTTTGGGTGTGCTGGAATTTTTAAGTGCACCATTTAAGGTACTTCGTTTCTGCGTTTGAAGGAGATTTAAAACTCTTTAACCTGTCTTAGTTTACAGGAACTCAAGTGTACACAGTGGATTTTCTTGACTTCAGATTGCGGCAATAGTGGGATATAAGAGCAATTAATTAGAGGAAGAAATCAAGAATTCACCAATTGGTGAATAGAGATGACAGAAGGCAGTGCGAGCCCACCTGAATCTTTCCAAGAAGCAGAATATATACATAAAGTAGTGGCTGAGACTAAATGCTATTAATTTTCTGCCTATGTAGGAAAACACAAGATAATTTCTTAGGAAGCACTTGTCAACAACATAATTATGTTAAACCATTAGCATAATGAGCCGAGATTTCACAAAGAGGCTCCCCAGCGTCAGTGAGAAGCTTGGTTGGGAAAGTATTCACAGTGGAGGACTGCCCGTGTTTTACCTCTGCTTGGCGTTGTCCATTCAGCATTTCCCCTCGGGGCCCTGGACTCCCACTCACTGCACATGCAGGCTATGAATGCACCAGTATGAATGCAAACTTCAACTACCTATGTCAAAAGATCACTATTCGGGCTTCCCTGGTGGCGCAGTGGTTGAGAGTCCGCCTGCCGATGCGGGGGACACGGGTTCGTGCCCCGGTCCGGGAGGATCCCACATGCTGCAGAGCGGCTGGGCCCGTGAGCCATGGCCGCTGAGCCTGCACGTCCGGAGACTGTGCTCCGCAATGGGAGAGGCCACAACAGTGACAGGCCCCAGTACGGAGCACAGACAAAAAAAAAAAAAAAAAAAAAAAAGATCACTATTCACTTACAAGAAAAAAACGGGAAAAAAGAAGATGCATGCACCTAGCTACTTGGAGACTTGAAAATTTCTGAGGCTCTCTTTCCTTATCCTATTCCTTATCTTTAAGGAATAAATCATAATATTGCATTTTTAAAAATAGCTAACTTGGTTAAATAGCCGCCTTGTGCAGGTGCCTTGGTAACTGATTTTATATAAATGGTCAAATTTAAACTTACAATAGTCTACTGAGGGGAGTTACAGTATCATTCTATTACCACCCACATTTTATAGATAAGGAAATTGAAGATTAGAGAGGTTAATAATTGGACCCAGGCACACAGCTTGCAAGAGGCAGTATTGTTATTTCAATTGCACCTTCTGACTTTTTTGCTATCCCAGTGATTAATATTCACATCATTATCTTTAGTTCAGGGAAGTCAGTGAGAGCGCTGACTGCACAGCTTGGGTGGAATCAGAGGAAACTATCACAGGACATAAACCCATTCAGTACTAACTACCTGCTTTGGACAGCTTCCCGGTACTCCTGCTACTGGATGTGCTGTCACCCCTGGTCAGCACCGTGATGCCCCCAAAACTCGCCGTCTTGGTCATGGCAGGCTTGAGATTGCGGTTGGAGCTGTCAGAATCTGTGCTGCTCCAGGCTCTTTGGTGGTCGGACCACTTGAGTTCATTCTCCGAGCTGCTCTGCCGACTTCCAGATGTTCTCCCAGAGCTGTCTCTGTTGCCCCTGGAGTGTGGCCATCAGAAAGATGCACGGGACAGCATTAGATTCCGAGAGCAGAACGGACACAAAGCGGGACCTTTCTTGTAAGAACCGTCTACACAAGACCCTTCTTGTCAACCCTTTCCTTGACACCTGTCGCCTCACAAACAGTGCACAGACACCTTGTTGATGTACAGACAGACAGGTAACACATCACACAAACACTCATGCTACAAACGAAAAACCAAACCTAGAAACGTCACATGGTCCCTCTGCCAGTGAAGGGGAAACAACAAGAAAAATAGGATATAAGATATAATTGGTAACTTCTCTTGTGGAGAGGAGAGAGGAAGGTAAATTCTCCTGACCCAAATCAACAATGACTCAGTGTTTGAAAGCAATTATGATGTTAAATGATCCTAAAAGCAACTCCCACCGAAGAAGAGTTTCGTCTTTCCCTTTAGCATTAAGTAATTGGACCATGGTAAAATACACAGTTTCAAAGAAGCCATTTACTAATTTAGTTGTTAACTATATTATATACATATTAAGGCTTTGGCAGACAGCACAGAGATCACAGGAATTCCTCTGTTAACCTTTGGTGAGAATTTTGCCCAGTGAGTTTAACCTTCACGGGCAGAGGAAAGAGCCCTTTAATACCTTTCACACAGAAAAATTCGTGATAATAACAACAGTGCAAACACTACACTGACACGAAACTTTCCAAGGAGATCAATGGGAATAACAAAATAGCTCCATAGATGAAATGACACATTTGTTCAAAATTCAAATAGAAAAAGATTGAACTTATTGGAAGAGATCCAATAGTCAAAAGTCATTTTTGAAGACTACAGAGTATTTCTAAGCAGTGTGCAAAACTGCATGTATTTTATAGAGAAAGTTGATGAAATTTGCATTTTCATTGGTTTCCAACTGCTTAAAGAGTGACTTGGTTACTATTTTTCAAAGGCTCTTCTGCAGTTTGGAAATAATGGATCATCAAAATATTCTAAGATTCTCATGGATTATGAATAAGCAAAGGGGACAAAAACCATGGGCAATAGATATAACCCCTAATTTCATATCACTGTGCAATGTGATAGAAATCTTGATCACAGTGGTGAATAGCAGTTTTATTAATATTCTTCTAAAGACAATCATGGGCTGTTGAGATGCCAGAAGTATACATATCTGATTGAAACACTCACCCACCAAATTGTACAGAAGGTATACAGAAAATTTTAGGTTTTGCTTCAACTTTACTTACTAAACGTTTTCTTTCATTTTGTGAAAACTTAAGAAGGTCAATGGATCCAGGAGATAATAAAGATGAAACAGCTAGTCTGTGATAAAGACTTTGTACAGTGAGGAGAGGAAATGCAACAGAAAATTCACAAAACAAAAAGTACTCAGCGCCCTGCTGTCCTCTCTTAATGTTTTCTTACAAACATTCTCTCTGCGTTCCGTACCTCGGGGATGGCTGGTTTTAGAAACAAGGACTATTTAAAAAAAAGACTAGTTTGTGAATAGTAAGTATCAGACACTCACCAAGGGCTACGTGACTTTAGTTCTTAAACACCTATGAAATTCAAACAGCCCAGAGGAGACTGGGTGGAGAAAAACCAGCCCTTCAAGGTGCTCTATTCCTGATTGTTTCCCTTTAAATCTCCAAATTCAGCTTCATTCTTTTCTCATATAATTCTGATTGATTTGACCCACCCTTGACAAAGCCTGACTACATCATTATTTAGCAACCATGAACGTACCAAGGGTGTGACAATAATCTCCCCTGTAGATAACGCAGAATATTTATTATAGGAAAAGATTTGGAGTGGGGTCCTCAGCAAACAGGATGCATCAGAAGGCAATTCCCCATATGGAGGCGATTATCACTAAAGTCCACTTCAATTATCAACTCTGCACCTCCATGGGAGGAATTTAGACTTCCTCTAAATGCCAGAGTGGCTAAGCCTTTCTCTGCAAAGGAGGTGTCCACCACTATTCCTAAGTGCATTTTAGTGTGTTTCTAAAGCACTGGGTAGTTCCTCTAGGCTCATGTCACATCCCGTAGCCAATAAGGCAACCTAAGATTTCCTTAACTTCTTCTAACTCTAATCCACTGGCTCAAATCCTCATCTCAAGTCAAGATCTGTGCGTTTTATAAAAAATGGAATTTAAGTTGTTGCTTTAGAGAGTTAGCATTAATGAGATTCAAAATAATGCATTTAATTTATGATCTCTAGATACGGACACACTGAAATCATATCTTTTACTGCTCTATCAATCATTCACCTTAACACTGGCAAGGTAAGGTCCAGAACTGAATTTCATATCTATTTGGGTGTGGAATCATAGGTATCATATCCACAAGTGCCTTCCTATACTTCCTAACAAGCCCAGTCCTAGTGTTCTTCTATTGGAAACCAGGAAGACAATGATAATGAATATCTGGCCATCAAGAGGCGTTGGCCCTCTTGTACATAACTGGAATTTGACCCAGAGTAGTCATAAAGCACATACTCTAAGTTCTGCTTCTGTGCTGATTAACATAACTGATAACTTTTATGTTCTTCATGTTTGAACGTGACACTTTTTTTTTTTTTTTTTTTTACCAAGTTAGGTATAATGTACATTTTGAACTGCTTTTATCAGTGTGTGGATGGCTTTGTGCTAAGTCATATTCCTGAGTTTCTGTGCTTGGTAATTTTGGTGGGTTATAGCATCCGTATTTGGGATGGTTGACTTCAGTAGACGGTAGCTCTGGCTAGGGACCAGATTTGGGGCTATGTAAAACTAAATGCCTCTAGGGGTCAAGAACCCACATTTTATCTGTACTGGTCTAAACAAGCCAGGTCATGGTGTGTGACTGCACGAGCACAGATACATTCTAGTCCTTCTCTGGGCTTTCAAGGGAAAAAATGCAAGGTTATTTTCTTAATATTCAAGTGTGAAAATAAACCGTCTAATGATACAAGAGGAAGGTATTAGATGTATAGTTCAACCTAGAAAAGTAAAGGAAGTTAAAAAATAGACCCTGTTTTTTTTGTTTGTTTCTGCCAAAGTGTAAAAAGAAAAGAAATTGCTCTAACTTTTCTAAGGATGAGGTCATAAGTTCAGATTTACAGCAAAAAGATATGTTCTAAGCATAGAATTCATTTACTTCTGGGTATTTCCTTTTTTCTCAGTGGTCAAGAAGTTCTGTTGGTTTGTTTGTTTTGCCTTTCCTACAACAGAGATGAATCCTAATATTCATAAAAGCACTAGCATATTAAATATATATATTAGGTAAATATATGTATTAGGTATTGAATATATATATACACATATACATATAAAATATATATAGCGCTGTGTATCCATTGCCCTATAATGGATGGTAGAGACACATTTAATAAAGTAATGAGATAAAAAAAAATTTTAATTAAAAAAATAAAGTGGGCTTCCCTGGTGGTGCAGTGGTTGAGAGTCCGCCTGCCGATGCAGGGGACACGGGTTCATGCCCCGGTCCGGGAAGATCCCACATGCCGCGGAGTGGCTGGGCCCGTGGGCCATGGCCGCTGAGCCTGCGCGTCTGGAGCCTGTTGCTCCGCAACGGGAGAGGCCACAACAGTGAGAGGCCCGCGTACCGCAAAATAAATAAATAAATAAATAAATAAAAAATAAAAATAAAGTAATGAGAGAGCAGGTATAGTACCTCTGCTTTCATGGCACTCTCTAGCCTAGTATAAAACTTTATACGTATTATATATATATATAAAACCTATTCTCCTTATCCCACACAGATCTTGATTTAAGCAGTTCATTATAATTGGAAACAATCCCATATCTTTCTTTAGAAATAAAATCTGTGCTTGAAAAAATATTGTTTGAAATATTATGATGGATAGTAGTGGCTAAAAATCAACTACTCAAATAGAGTTTTCATTGATTTGTTTTCCAGTGTTGGGAACGTATACACAATTGCAAGCTGTAAGAGAAATTTTAACTCAGTGTAATTCACCAAAGTTGATTTGGGAATGTGAAATCAGTGTGCTGTCAAAGTTAGTCCTGGAGGAAAAAAACCCAGAAAATCCGAGGAAGAACCCTAAAGGACTGTAGACAAAGCACTTGGTTTCCCAGTCCCGTATCTCACAGGACACCGTATGGCTTCAACACTAGCTCAGTAATAACCTTTACAAAGAGATAACCAAACATATTTTATTTCATGAACAGAGATATTTTACACTAATACACTTATATTTAACATTGATTCCACCACATCATCTGAAAACACAGTTTTAAAAAAGTAAACCATACCAACCGAAAGAGCTGTCTTTTCTTATAGGTCTCACTGCATATGTTACTGTCTTCCAAGAGCCTACTGGAAATGAAAAACATGATTTTTATGATATAAAATCTAAGGGTACTAAATGCCCTATGTTAAATGGATGTGTACTCAACTATGGCACACCTGTCTTGCAAATCAACCCTATATGCTACGGTTTATTTTCAAGATGTAGAATTTTGCCCTAATAAATTAATGGCAGCCTGATTTTTCCCTACCCTAGGATAAAGTACCGATGCTAGACAGGAAGAAGGGAAGAAGAAACAGATGGAATGGAAGAGGAGGGGAGAATCAAAGAAATGGATATAGATATAATAGACATTTAATTAATTAAATATATCGGTTGCGATTTTTTTCTTTGGGTAATATTAGTTATTCTTTATATTTTGGGCATAGTGAAATGTGCCTTCCAAAGGCAGGTATCAAAGAAATATATTTATTTTTGTAGGGATCTATTCAGAATTTTGCTTTTGGGGACCATCAATACTTCTTCACATATGCAATGCATATTTGTGACAAATTATTGTATTGATGAATATAATCCAATTTGAATATTAGGGACACAAGTGCACTAGCAGTCTTTTCATACAAAACACAAGTATATGACGAAGATTAGGGAGTAAGTAGGGAAAATGATTGGCTAGAAGACTAGGGAATGACATGTCCTACTAAACTGAATTCTAAATGCTCACTTCATTCTTTGGGTAAGGATATAGAATTCTGGATTGCTTCAACATCCAAATGTTGCATCCAACATCCAAATTCAATTTTGGATATAGAATTTTGGATTGCTTTAACATCCCTACGATGGTAAAGCTCACGGATTCTTAATTTACTGTAAAAAAGGAATACTTGTTGAAAACTGTATGGGTTTTTGAGGATGCTTTTGGATGCCTTGTAAAGACCTGTTCACTACTTTCATCCCTTCTTCTACAAGAGGTTATTCAGTTGAGGGTAGTTACTTGACGTTTTCTAACTGCTACTATGAATGAGGGCATTTTTTAAACCAATCCTCTTGAATGCCAGGTTTAACTTTTCTCTAAGTACTGGAATTTAATCAAATAGCCTCCATTTTAATCGATTTTATAGAGATACCCATTAAGCCAACACCTGAAATGAAATTAACCACCACTCTTTTAATGGCTACCATATTTCCAATCCAAGTTGCCCACTGTGATGCATATTAATGTGATCAGTACAGCTAATGAGGAATTCCTTAATTCCCCTTGAAAACGTGCAATTAAATCAATGGAGCATTTTAATATCTATATCAGTTCAGAACTATTTGTAAAAGGTACATGCTAAATTTGAGAAGTTCTGCTCTTATACTCAAGACTTTGTATAAATGTTTTAACACATTCATGTCATAACCACCACCTTCTCTACTAATACCCCGCCAGGTACACTGATAAATCTAGATCGGTTTAGATAAGTTTTCCAAGTTCAGCCTTTTATGAAGACAGATTATTTAGAATGAGAAACATAAAACAATACTATTCAAATTATCATCTGTGTAGCTACATATAATGATAGGGCACAGGAAGAGGCCAATAACAACCAAATACACAAGTACTTTTAGCAGCCTATTCAATAAGCCAATGAAACTGCAAGTTCTTGTCTCAACATTTATACTTTTTAATGCCTGGGGAAGGTAACAGGATTATACCTTTGGAAGGACCAGAAGTTGAGACTTTAAATAAGGAAATTGTTGAAACTTATGTTTGGAAGTAATGGAGGGAATTTTTCCCCAAAGTTAAATAGCTTTTAGACATGCTAAATAACATGTGTGTGCATATATACGTGTGTACACATAGATATATGTATTTATTTATACATATATTCAAGCACACACTTATATATGGCATATGTATATCTATGAAAAACAAGACACATGACAGACTTTGTTCCTCTAAAGACATGAAAAAGCAAATTTCATTTTACCTGTTTTCCACAAAAAGGCTTTCCTGGGAGCAAACTGACTGAAAAATAAAAAAAAGCATTGTATCAGATGTTCTGGATATGCTGAGGGAGCCCAAATCCTTGCCTGCTTTTCAAACTACTTTTCCCCTCCAAGAGGAAAAGAATTAAGAAAAATATGTACCATTTTCAGAAAAAATGGAAATAAAAAAAAGGAAAAAAAAACGGTTAGAGTTAGAAGTGTAAACCATTCTCATGCAGCTCTTTTCCGTCACGGTGTCTCCAGGTTTCACATAGATTTAGCCCGTGTAGCGCCAAGGTCAGAAGAGAGATGTTGTGAATGAAGCTGCTGGAGAAACCTGTGAGCATCAGGTCCTGAGCTAGTGGTTTCCTCTAGGGCTGCCGAGATGCAGCCGCCATCAGGAGCCAAAAGGACAAGTTCAGATCAAGGCGGAGCGTGCAAACTTGGCACGATCCACCTGAGGATGGGAGAGCTGTAAAGCCACAATCCTGAAATTATGACCTGGCGACAATAAACTCTCACAACGTAAACAGATGACCTGCAAGACTCTCAAACTGAAGAGATGCTATCAAACAATCTTGGCGGGGAGTTGGCGGGGGCAGCGGGGTGCTCAGAAAACAAGTGAGAACGAAATGAAGTTAATTGGGAAAGAATATCAAGCTCCATCTAATATATCTTAGTTTTTCACACAAAAAACCCAGTGACTTTCTTCTTAGCTTGCATTCTCTAGCACACATTTCTCTGCTATCTTGGGTTTAATATACAACTTAGGGAAGATAAAATTCCATTATCATATGTGCTCGGGAAAGGCAGATCAAATTAAATTTTAACAAACAGAGAAAGAGAAGTCTAAACAAAATACGGTGCAACAGTCCTAAAATACGACTGTGTTTAGGAACTAATATAAAACCATGTCCAAAGTACTAAGTTTGTAAATGTAAATTTACACATGTAAAATTAGACGTGTGGATTTTCTAAATGATGAGTAAGTCACCTGGCTAAAGGGATAAATAGAGACTTAACGGGTCGATTTTAAGATAAAATAAAACGAAAGAAATAATAATGACCTTTCAATATTGAATTTTTGCATTTAAAATGCTGCTAATGTAACCACCGCTCAGAGATGCCGGCAGGATATTGGTTTCTTTCTACCTTTTACTGGAGAAATCATTTCCTTCCACTAGGCCAAAGGGCTAGATTGGGCATAAATGTTTTTCTCAGTGGTCTGAGCATTTTAATGGGGGCATCTCTAGAACCATTTCTGTTTTAACCTCTGTGCATTTGACATGCATCCCGAAGATCAAGTGTGCAAAAATTTTATTAAACAAAAGGCAAAAACAGCCAACTAAGAAAAAAGCTTTTCAGAAAAATATCTTTTTTAAAAAATTTGACATTTAATTTTATAAAAGGAAACAAATACAGATGATGTGCCCTTGACGTTATTCCTATGAGGATCTCTTTAAAGTAAGCTAGAGATGCCATTGTCTTTATTTCCTTTAGTTTGGTTTCCGTACCGGCTTGAGTCAACTTTGAGCCAAGTCCTGGTATGTGACAAAAGTGAGATTGTGTCAGATATCCACGATGAATTTAATACTTTGTTATTTCTCATCTGTTGAGGTTGAAGAGAGGTCAGTTACATTTAGGATGTTCTGGCTGGTACTGAATAACTGAGACTCAATTACTTCTTTGAAGGAGTTGATCAAAGACATGCTGACCTCTTCAGACTCATTAATCTAATAGCATTTGGGGGAAAGTGAAGCAGCCCAAAACTCTTTGAATTAAAAAATAAGTCACTTGCAAGTCAAAGATGATGTTCCCCATAACCAATCTCCAGAGCATCTGCCTGATTATTGTGGAAAGGTCCTAAAAAATCATCTCATCATCCATCTACCACATTTTCATAAATAAGACAAGAGACAGTTATGGGCTACGATTCAGTAACTGATGAAAATGTGTGTGTGTGTGTGTGTGTGTGTGTATGTGTGTGTGTGTGTGTGTGTGTGTGTATAAAGTAGCATTAATAACTTACAAATTTTAATAGCAGAGAAAGATAAAATTGTCACCGTAATTAAGCCCAGGATTCAGAGCTGGCAGGTATACGCATTCTCAGATGTAAACAAAGGTCTTTTTTTTTTAAAGGAGGAAAACGTTTTTGCCGATGGCTTACAGAATTCTCTTCCACGTGCCACCCCCAAGCCAGGTGGTGCCTCACACCCTCATCATCAGCTCTCCCTGAAGAATCCCAGCACATGCAAAGGAGACCAAAGATGAGGTCCTCCCCGAATCCCTATTTATACATAAATACCCTTCAGAAATCACCCTACAGGCAAAACAGGTCTCTCTCAAATATATTGCTTTATCAACTTAACCTTCCTAAAAGGAACAACATTGCATAGGATTAATCATAAAACAAGATGAAATTCTTGCCAAAGGAAACAAGAGCTATATTTCGAGTATTTCTGACAACAAAAGTACATTTATTTATTATTTGAGAACTAAATTGTTGTGTGCTCTAAATAACATTTTAGTTCCCAAATAATAGATAAATTGGTCTTATTTCAAGATACCAAAATTCTCAAACTATATTTGAAAAACTTTTTCTAGAAAACCCTGAAGTAATCTGCATATACTGATTGTGCACCTATGTACAAAAGCGCACACACACACACACACACACACACACACACATCCTTAGAAACCAAGATACATTTGTAAAATATTCAAGAACGCTTCTAATTTTAAAACAAATCTGGATTTTGCTGAAGTGTAAATACCAGGAAGTATTTTTCTATAAATCTCTATTGTAACTTCAAGTAGAAAAAAAAATCCTACTTAAGTATATCGATATTTGAACCTGTTTGAACTACTCCACACTTAATAATTGGCAAAGGAAGCTGGTTATATAACCTCTGTTTTTAAATTATGAAGATGCTAAATTAAAGACCAGCTAAAAAAAAGATTAGATGCCTGTAACTTAATTTCCTTATGCTGGATTCTTTGCATTTGTTTTACAATTGAGTTAAGATACTTTAATTATTATCTTGTGAACCTCGACAATTTGGGCAGCAGTAATGATCATTTGGGAATCTGGAATTGCATAGGTGAAGGTTCCCTAAAGGGTCCTGTCTTTATGTTACTATATATATTCGAGAAAGTTCATATTGCTGTTATGTCCTTGAGTTTGTGTTATCCTGTTAGTACAGGGTGGCGCCCAGTGACCCCTGCCTTGTGTAGCACCTCCCACATGCACCAGGGCTGGTCTGCGTGCCAACAGAATACAGCAGAAGGGAAGGTAGGTCACTTCCAGGATCAGGTTATAAATGACTGTGGCTTCCAATTGGGATTCTTTCTTTCCCTCTCAGATCACTTGCTCTGGGGGAAGCTAGTTGCCATTCTGAAGACACCTGTCAAGTCTATGGAGAAGCCCACATCACTATGTGGGAAGTGAGATCTCCAGCTTACAGCCAGCAAAGAACTAAGGCCTGGAGATACTCGAGTGAATTTGGAAGCAGATAACCACTTCACCAAGCCTTCAGATGAGTACAGCCCCAGCTGACAGCTTGACTGTAACCTCATGAAAAGCCTTGAGTCAGAATCACTCAGCTAAGCCACTCCCAGATTCCTGACCCATGGAAACTGTGAGAGAAGCAGATTTTTGTTTGTTTGTTTTTTAAGCTGCTAAATTTGGGAATATTAATAGCTAAAACAGAGAATACCAGTGGTATGACTGCATTGTCTCTACAAGAGCTATCAGACTAGGGAGAAAGACATTTTGTTTTCCGTCTAGGAAAGTGGCTCTTAGTGGCTCATTTAAGCATCATGAAAACTTATAAGAATATGATAAACACTAGAGATCTTATCCTTAGAAAAATGCACATATGCTCATGAACATAATATTTTGCAGGTAATATCAGGGATTTTATTTGATCTCTGAAGCCCTTTATGAGTACACTCTGGGTACAGCATGCTGATTAAAAAACTACTGCCCTAGGAGATCAAGTGAAAAGCAGTGTCAGAAACAGGCAGTTTCCCACCTGAATCAGTAAAGCCAGAAGTGCTGGCCACCAGGCGTGACAGCCTATCAAAGGAGCTCATGCCTCCGCTCCCATAGGGAGAAGCAGCCACAGCATTGTAGAGAAGGCTGCTGAATGATTTCATGGAATAAAAAGGCTATGACAATAGTTTTGCATTTAAGTTTTCTCACATTTAAGTCTGCTTTTACTTGTTAAAAAAAGTTAATACAGCATGTGGCCATAGAGGCTTTAAACAGGAACCCTTGCCTCCAATCTTTAGCCTGGAACCCAGGTCGCTTACGAATAATCTCCTTAAGATGGATGTGAGGAAATGCAATGTGTAAAGGGAGTCACGCTGACCCCTTCTCCCTTTGACGACCTCCCTATGGACACGAGAATACACAAATGAAGTACAGCAGGGCAAGTGTCACCCCCATCACAGGCATGCATCAGTGACGTTACTTACTGTCACCTGGCTCTTGAGTGTCTGGCAATGTGGCACAGCTTTGGCAAGAAAAAAAAAGAATAATGTTGTTTGTATATAATGTGGGTGATAAGTATTTGTTTATCAATGTAACAACTCATTCATAAACTATATGACTTGCCAGAACCAGACTAAGAGGGAAAAGGTGTGTGTGTGTGTGTGTGTGTGTGTGTGTATGTGTGTGTAAGAGAGGGAGAGAAAGAGAGAGAGAAAATAGAAAATAAACTAGCCTTCAGAAATATTTCTCTTCTTGAAGGTCATCAGACAGGAACATTCTGCCTCCAGTCCACAGTTGGCATCATTATAGTATGATGACTAGAAAAGATCCTCTCATTACTGCATTCTTGTATCCAGCAAACATAAGGAAAGGTCTACCATGTGTCTTGCTGTCCTATGCACCCTCAATAATTCTGACCATAATAAAAGAATTTTCTAGAATCTTCTAGAATTGTACCTGGACATCAGCCAACTATGGCTACCTCCATCTCCTTCTCTCACACTCCTCTAATTCCCAAGCTCTGGGCCAGATTATTCAACTGAAAATTGTGTTTTAAGAAAGGCAGAGAGGATCTAGAGATCAGGGAGACTGGCTTGGGCTTAACTCCTCTAGGGAGAGCAGTCCCCCTCCATGCTAGGCTGGCTTTGTAAGACATCCAGGAGCAAATCACACAGGAGGTCAGACGCTCCACCTGACTTAGTAACGCCAGAGGTGTTGGCAGCAGAGAGTCTACACAAAGGTGCTCACGGCTGTACCTCTGCAGAGAGAAGAGGCCACAGCATTTTAGGAGGGTGCCAGATGAGTTCATGGAAGGGAAAACCTATGGCAATAGCTTGTCCTTTTCATTTCATTGCATTTAAATTCAGTTTTTTTAAACGTTTTAATTTGTATTTAATTTAATTGCATTTAATTTTGGCCACACTGAGGAAAAAGATAAAAAAAATAACCAACCACATCTTCTTTGGGATTTGAACAATAAAAATTGTTTTCTGACTATATCCTTGAAAATTGTTCACAGAACTATTCGATCTGAAAATGGGGTGGGGGGGATGAATATCACTATTTAACTTTGATATAACGAAATGTCCATACTTGCTAAGATTGCAGAAAATTCTGTGTGTGTGTGTGTGTGTGTGTGTGTGTGCGTGCGTGTGTGTGTGTGTGTGTGTGTAAGATCAACGACTCTTCTTTCTTTTCCTGTAATTCTTTCCTGTGTACAATGTTGGTCTTAAAAAGACAACCGTGTGGTATCTGCTGGCTAATATGAACGTGAAGGGATTTCTGCAAATCTGGCAACCTCTCTCTGTACTTACGGTCTATTTCATTGACCAAACTGGTATCTCTATTTCCCCACAGGTCATACCCTAGAGAACACATGCAAACCCTCGGCCCCTCCTCCATCACTTCCCTGAAGCAGGTCCTCTTCCAGAAACACCTCTAGTTTGCTGCCCTTCGGTTTGTTCCCTGCCTCCAGCTTCCCTCATCCCTGCCAGCTCCCTGTCTGGGGAATGAGGCTGCCTTGCTGCTGACGGAAGGACCGCACTCAAGAGGCAATGAAAACAACTACTCACATCGTGTGCAAATATTCTCTCCCTCACTCTCTGATATTCCTCTTCTCTCTCTTCAATTGATTTACTTCGTCTGTCATCTCTAAATGGATGCATTCTGTTTTGCTGAACAGAAAAAAGAAATCAGGAGGGTTATCCAAGTTGAGCTGTTGGAAATCTGCAGTTAAGAAAAACTGTCAGCTGAGAATAATAAATGTTCACTTAAGCAAATGGGGCGTGAAAAGCCTTACTCCCTCTGGTCCCTAAGGAAGCCGTGGTGGGGTACGTGTGTGGTGTGTGTGCCATGCAATGGCAGGGGATGCTTGTTACTCCTGCTTGCTCCCTTGCTGGATGCAAGTAGCATGGGAGTTTCTGGAGTGTAAGCTCCTGAATGTGCCTCAGGTATTCAGTCAGTTGGCTACGTGATGGGTCATGAGTCATGGGCTCTGTCTCCTTAGCAAACCTGTGTGATTTTGACTCCCCAAAAGGAGGCAGAATGGTGGTGAGAAAAGAGGAAGTGGCTAGTTCAAGATGGCTAAGAGAAGAAATGGCTTTGAAAACGTGGGGACCGGAGAAACAGAGCAAGGCGGTAAAGAAGGGAACAGGCAGAATGGAAGATGGGGATGCTACTTCTCTGCATCCTAACTTGTATTTTTATTCACTCAATGACTTATTCTGTGAATTGCATCTGGGATAAAAAGAGGAACTAAATTCAAAAAGCTTGTCTGCTGATTAAGGTCGATGTCAAGAAATCTAACAATTCAAAGAACCCAGCATGAGGACTGCTGTTCTTCCCGCTGAGCCACTTCCTGTGTCTCTACCGCCCTCCCATCTTATTCCTGCCGTTCCTCCCCAAATGCCCTGCACTAACCACGTCCATCCATCCATTCAACAAACACCCACTAAGTACAGGACACGGGCACATGTTCCAGAGTCAACTCGAGCCATGGTGTGGTTTGATGGTGGTGGCAGGAAACGAGATACAAATGACGAACGGGTTTTTTTTTTTTAAAAAAAGTGCGTCAGAGATGCACACACAGGCTCACGGTGACTCACTGTGGGTAATTAAAATAATAACTTGAGTGAGACGCAGATTGTCTTACCTTTCAGCATTCTAAAGCAAAGTCATTGCCAAAAAAAAAAATCTATTTGATTGTCAGAGACATAAAGGGTAACTGTAATGACATTTACATGACTTTCTACTGTTCCTCTTATCATTAAAATTTTGTTTTCTTTTGCCATTTACTTAGTTTTCTTCTTAATCACCCTGGAACCCACCCCCTCCATCCACAGAAAAGTCTCTCTAGCCTTGTTGAGGTCCCATGAGTAAGGCTACTCTAGAACAATGTAATGTTTTGTCACAAGCAAAAAACACGTAAGGAGGAAGTTCTGCTCCAGTTCGTGCAAAACAAGCAGACAACTGACATGGACGATAAAACACGGGAAGGGGAAGGGGTGGGGGACTAAAACCTGAACTCAATTCTTTGTTGTGAAGACTTATTTTAGGAGAGTTTGCAAAATCCACCTGGCCTCACCATAACAAGGTTTGTTGTTAACAGCTACATCAGTTGATCAGCGGTCCGTATTGACAATCCAGCTCAATGTGTGCACAACGGAAGGATAAAGCTGTAGGGAGGGGAACGACTGCCAGAGTTACACAGACACCTGGAAATGCAACTGACAAAGCTCTTCCCATCAGCTCGGAGCCTGCGGCATCCCAACCCCCCAAGACATGCAGCAGAGCCGGCGTCAAGCACCACCCATGCAGCCCAACACAGAGCCATCGCTGAAGCAACCAGGATGTGGTGTTCTGCTACCCACTGAATGCCAAAGAGGGAGGCGGGGGGAGGGGGGCAGGAGGCTGGGGGAGGGGGGACAGTCGTTTCAGAGGCAGGGGAGATTTGGGAGGGGGAGCGGGGACAACAGAATGACAAGAACATCAGGCAGCCCACCTTCAAAAACAACAACGTCAGCCACTCTCAAACTTGAGAACCAACCTGAGTGTCTTCTTTATCAATACTAGAGTTATCTCGCTTCAAGATAAACCGCTTCTGGGATTCTTCACCTTTTTCATCTTTTAAATGTTCACAAAACCTTTGCTCTGGTCTGCCAGCAAAGTAAAACATATCAATAAAAAAAGTTTTTCCCCCTGTTTAAAGTTATTTCTTAGTGTTCCCCCCCCGCCCCGCACAGTGGCATTCAACTTTAAAAAAAAGTGTACACGTGGTTTTGATACTAGAATTGCTGGCAATATACAGGTAGGTAATAATATGTCACTTCACAGGTGTTGTTTGAATACCTTTGGTTGTTTGGAATTCGGAGTCTTGTTTGCTGCATGCTGTTCACCATGGCTGAAGTTAAAAAAAAATTTTAAAGGCCTGAAAATATATAGTGTATAGATGTTTTCTATAGTTATTTTGACCTCCATCACTCCTGAATTCAATCAAGTCCCTGCCCATATTCTCAAGCAACTATACATGCTTAGAATTTGGGATTACCACATTAATTCACAAATGTCTGGAAACTAGAAGAACACTTTCTTTTATATCTTCCTATTATATCTTCCCTTTCAAGAGCCTTCTGAATCTGTAGTGAGAGAGAACCATCTATGAATTATTTCCATCTTTCTTTAATGACAAATGCTCTGGAATCTGGCTCCAGTAGACTCTGACATCCTTGACCATGTCTTATAAATCAGTTCAGTAATAGGGGAAACTGGAGATATTTAGTTTAAACAACTTAATGTCTGATTAGCATGGGGAAAATGCTCCAAGCAGTTATACACTATTGATTAGTCAATTGATTTTTTTTAAGGTCCTCTTAATCATTTTGTATTATTACAGGAAAGGGCTCCACTTCCCTGTTAATTTCCCACAGGCATCACTGCACACCAAAGAACTCAATGAATGACTTGGGCTTGAGTTCATCCCAGAGGAAGTGCTAAAATGTTCATTCCCCAGTTTAGGAGCAGTTGTAATTTACGGCTGTCATTAAAGTGTCTCTCATGTCTGATGTATTACTCTGTAAGTCCCCTGGGTTCAGTATGTATCCAGTCATTGGGAAGCCATGTCACAGCATCTATTGTTTAATATGACCAGCAATTAAGGTGACCAGTAATTAAGGGAATCTCATCATTAGCTCCAAAATAAGCAAACAGCACTTTGAAAACAAAGGAGCAGTTTAACTGTATAATTCAAATATTGATGAGAAGCATTGTTTCCTTAAACACACATACATAAAGTATAATAATAATTGGGGAGCAGACAAAACCAGAAAACTGAAATAATACCAGTTATAGCTTCTAGAATTGTATATAATTTCTGCAAAGTGATATCATTATCTTACTCAATCCTTGCAAAAAAACTTTGATGTAGGAAAAGCAAATATTTTTTGCCTCTTTTACAGATAAAGAAACTATCCCTCGCTAAATCTTTTGACTCCAGTTTATAGATTCACCCACTAAGCCACAGGCATCAAACAGCCTATTCACATCCTTGCAGAGAAGTGATTCAGTCTCTCTCTGCTTCTGTTGTACTCAGTGGGCTGGAGGGCCTCACACCTCAGGATAAAGAACAAAAAATCTGCATCATATCATCTTCAATATCAATGTAAATGTTTTCCACCAAAATTAAGATGTAATAAAATATAGCAATTTGGAAGTGCGAATGTGACATTTTAACATCAGAACAGAGTAAATTTGCACTTTATAATGAAGAGGTCATTCACAGTAGAGAAATTAAATATATTTTGGTGGAGCACAGTCACAGGTCACTTCAATTACTTATTACGCTATAAAGTCTGACAATACTAGTGTGAATAGCTACAGGTCGCTGTAAACGAGAAAAATTCTCCAGGAGCTTTTCTTTTTTCTTTCTTTCTTTTTTTTAGGAGCTTTTTTAAAGCTTCCCAACATTTTCAACCACTTAGGTGTTGTTATATTGTTTTCTTTCCTTTCTTCTTAATTGACGTATAGTAAATGTACAATATTATATAAGTTACAGGTGTACAATACAGTGATACCCAAATTTTTTTTAAAAAAGGCTTTTTTAAAGCTTCCCAACATTTTCAAACACTTAGATGTTGTTGTATTGTTTCTTATGTAGCATGTAAAATTAGGATATTAACTTAAGTACAAACGCTGATAGTATCAATACTAATTAAGCCTCTTCTAATAGCCCCAAGCTCTGTAAACCTGATAAACTCTAGTCAATGAAATGATTTGCTGACTGCTAAATATAGAGATATACTTCTTTTATTTGTTGCTAATCATCTATAAATGTTCATTTAGAAATGAAATGGTCTAAGAACGTGAACTTTTGGATTCATGACCATAAGGTGAATTTGCTTCAGACTAAATTCTTCTTGAGGCAGAAAATCATTTAGAGTGAGATTTCAGCGTAGTAACCAGAGATAGAATGCAAGTTCCATGTGGGTAGGGACCTTGCTTTTTAAAAACTGAATCCTTAGTGCCTAGAACCGTGTCTGGCATATGGGAGGCATTTGGTTGGATGAATAAATGACTCAATGTATGAATGAATGAAAATTTAGCACAGCTATAAAAAAATCACAGTAATTCAGGGACAGATCAAAGGATCACTGAGTAAGATATACAGTCACAAATGTTTATAAAACAGAACAGGAGAGAGTTTGGTTAGTAGGAGCATAAATTCAAATTTAGAGGGACTTCCCTGGTGGTCCAGTGGTAAAGAATCCGCCTTACGATGCAGGGTACGCGGGTTTGATCCCTGGTCTGGGAACTAAGATCCAACATGCCGTGGGGCAACTAAACCCACGCACCACAACTACTGAGCTCCCGCGGCTCAACTAGAGCCCACGTGCTGCAAACTACAGAGCCCGCATGCTCTGGAACCCGCGTGCCACAACTACAGAGTCCACGTACCCTGGAGCCTGCCCGCCACAACTAGAGAGAGAAAACCCGCCTGCCACAACTAGGGAGAGGCCCTCATGCCGCAATGAAAGATCCCGCGTGCCACAACTAAGACCCGATGCAGCCAAAAATAAATAAATTATAAATCTTAAAAAAAAAATTTAGACCATTAGGAACATCTTTAAAAATCAGATTTATGTTTGGCTTCAAGTCAATTGTGTTATTAAAGAAAAGCTTTTCACATTTGAGGATATCTTGGGAAAAGAGGTGGACACGGGAATTTTAGCTTTTCTAGTTTGGGAACTTCTCAGTTAAAATGTCATTATAGTTACGAGAGAGCTATTCAACCATTATTTTTGAAATGTCATCTGCGTTTCTTCATAGTGCTGATTTTCTTTTTTTCATAGCAGGAAAAATACATCCATCACATAAGCAAGAGTAGTCAAAGGAGCTTGTTTGAATCAATAATGGAAATATTATTTAGAACAACAATATTTGTTACTCTGATATAAATTATGCAAACTGCATCTTGCACGACTGCTTTTCAAGTATTTTGTTTAAATTTGTTTTCAAACATTAGAAACTAAAAGTCCAAATTACTAATTCCTTCTTGATTTTCCAAAAATATTTTGAAAGGTTAGAAAGTAACCATTTGAAGTTTGCATAAAAGGAATAAAATAAACCTAATAAGATTTTTCCAGGTTGATTTTATAGAGAATTACCTAGAGGTAAGGAGTAATTTTAGGTTTAAACTCATGCAGGCTATAGTTTATTACTGAAGTATTATATGTGATTACACTAAAGATTACTGGTAATGCACCATTATATTAGCGCTTTTAAAAATCCTTTTTTACCACTAATTTAACATTATAGCAATATTATTTCTTAGCCATAAAATGAATGGAACTAAACTAATATATCATGGACCTTTATTTAAAATGGTAATGAATTATTTTTAATGTATCAAGATGTAACTCTAAGAAAAACTCCTCAAGGCTTCAAAAGGTCAAGGTATTTATTAAATTAATGATAACTAGCGTTTACTATGTATCTCATGGCCATGCATTATACATGTCTACATTTTTTTTTCCTGGAACATTTCAGTCCATGAGTTATTATTTTTAGCTGTCTGTTTATCATTATCAAAAAGCAGAGAAAACAAATTTAAGGTTTCTTCTTTTTTTTCAAAATTTATTTATTTTATTTTATTTATTTATTTTTGGCTGTGTTGGGTCCTCATTGCTGTGTGCGGGCTTTCTCTAGTTGTGGCAAGCGGAGGCTACTCTTCCTTGTGGTGCATGGGTTCCTCATTGTGGTGGCTTCTCTTGTTGCAGAGCACAGGCTCTAGGCGTGCGGGCTTCAGTAGTTGTGGCACGTGGGCTCAGTGGTTGTGGCTCATGGGCTCTAGAGCACAGGCTCAGTAGTTGTGGTGCACGGGCTCAGTAGTTGTGGCTCACAGGCTCTAGAGTGCAGGCTCAGTAGTTGTGGTGCACGGGCTTAGTTGCTCCGTGGAGTGTGGGATCTTCCCGGACCAGGGATCGAACCTGTGTTCCCTGCATTGGCAGGCGGGTTATTAACCACTGCGCCACCAGGGAAGTTCCTAATGTTTCCTCTTGATTAAAAGAAAAATAGTTTCCTCTTCTTAAGTTTTTTAAAAAAGTGTTTTCCCACAATTCATAGCAGGGTCTACTGTGACACTCATTGATCATGTGTGGTGAGCAGTACTGGCATTTCCATTCTGTCTTGGCATCCCCAGTCAAACTTTTCAAAAGTTAGAACTAACTCTTCATTGTTCCTTATTAGACAGAGCTCATGAATTGACAGGCAGTATGGCTGAATGAAATACTGTGTAAGACCATCAAACTCTATCTTCTCGTCAATTGATTCCAATTTTAGTTAGATTTCTTTCACCTGAACCTTAAAAAAAGCTGAGGATGCTTTATTATTTTTTAAAAATCTTTTTGATCTACAAGTATTTTCAGTGGTTTACTCTCACTGCCATTTGGTTTCCATTTCTTGAAACCAAATGTATTACTTCTCATCCAAATAGTTCAGTTTAATCCCTCCCCTCACATACGCACAAATGAAGAATTCAATTCTGCTAAATGCGGAGGAGCACAAAGGGACATCTTTGAATTTCATACTGAATAATGGAAAGATGGTCATCAATATGCATGAAAGGTTGCTGTGCACAGCAGGGTGAAATATTTTGATGTCA